GAACCCCGCCTCCACTCCTTACTGCATCTTCAGTTGTGTCCTCTCTCCTGCTTTCCCTTCCTCCTCACTCCTTTTAGGATTATGCCTCCAGGACTAAGCCTCTTACATAAGTATAACCTTGGACATAGTCCTTCATATGTCTGCGGAGGGAGGATCTGGGGGACCCTTGCAGCTCCCCCTTCTAGGTAGCCCTCTCAATTACTCCCACTAGATCTGGTGATCTCACAGATGATCCCCCAATCCCTGGATCCCCAGACCAACCTCACCCTCTTCCCCCCTACACATAAATCATTAGGACCCAGAGGAATCAAGGGTTGGTGTGAGCAAAGGAGTTATTACTCAAGAGACGTCTTTTGGAGAGTGGGGAGAGGGGGAGGTTAGGACTTGAGGCCCCAGTTGGATTTCTGCCAAATTGGATAAAGCCTCCTCCCCTCTCCTCCAGCATCAAGTTACCCTTATACAGTAGACACACAGACTCTTAGGAGACAGGCAGATTAATGTAGTAGATAGTGCACTGGGCTAAGAGTCAAAAAGATATGAGTTCAAATCCAGCCTCACACATTTATTAACTGTGTGACTCTGGGCAAGTCATCCAACCTCTCTGTGCCTCAGTTTCCTCCCCTGTAAAATAAGGGGCCACTTCAAAGTTCCTTCCAGCTCTGTATCTATGAACTGGAAGAGATGTTAGACGTCATCTTGTCTAATCCGCATGTGAAATGTAATTTCCAAAACAGAGCCAGAAAGTGTTCATCTGGCCTTCACTTAAGACCATCAAAGACAGGGAACTCACTACCTACCAAGGCAGCCCATTCCTTTTTTGAATAGCTTTAGCTATAGGGAAGATTTTGCTTATACTGAACCAGAATCTGCCTTCATGGCATGTAGGTACCTTCCATTCTCTGATCCTAGTTTTATATGTTTATAGACATGCAGTATACATAACACATGTGTGGATCAATCATGTATTAAGCTGCAATTATGTACACACAGATACATATACACTTGTGTATACAAATGTACATGCACACTAACCCACAGGGGGCAAGGTAGCTGTCTCATAGAAGCTGGGGGATATGAGGGCGGGGCGGGAAACTGTGCTGCTCCCCTACACTCAGTGCAGTGCTCTTGGCCAGTGTAGTGATCGCCACCATGCGGGACCTGGGGAAGAAGGAGAAACTGGAGGCTGCAGCTGGTGAGGCTCTGGGCCAGACATTGACTGTGGCACAGCTGGATGTCTGCAGTGAGGACTCCATGTCTGCCTGCCTAAGCAGCATTGAGGAAAGGTCTTTGGACGTGCTAGGTAAGACAAACCTTTTTCAAGAAGGCCTATCTAAGGAGTCAGCCAGTCTACCTCTATCCCAGGTGAAGGTGGAGTGAGGGTAGGTGCAGGGAGTAGAGGACCCTTTCCTTCACCCTCTGTAGTGGAAAGATGGTTGGATATGGAGACTGAGCACTTGGCATATTCTGGCTATTACTCATTACCTGTGTGATCTGGGGCAAGCCATCTCTCCTCTTTTGGCCTCAATTTCTCCATCTGTAAAATGAAAGTGTTAAACTAGATCAGGGGTTCTTTTTTTAAATTCTATTTTATTTTATTTTCAGTCCAGAAATTTCTCCCTTCCATCTCTCCTGCCTATTGTGAAAGCAAGAAGAACAAAACCCTTTATAAATATATATAGCCAAGCAAAACAAATTCCCACATTAGCCATATCCAAAAAAATATACTTCCCTCTGTACTCTGAGTCCATCACCTTTCCTTTTGGAGATAGATAGTATGTTTTGTCATGAGTCCTCTGGAATTTTGCTTGATTTCATTGTGTTGTAGATCAAGGGTTCTTAACTTGCGATCCAAGGACACCCCCCCTCCAAGGGGTCTGTGGATAGATTTCTGAGGGTTCAGGAACTTGGATCAGAAAAAAAAATAACATAATCCTATGTATTTTATGCATTTAGAAACCTAATTCTGAAAGGGAGTTCCTGGCTTCCAGACTAACTGCTTAAGGAGTCCACGATATGAAAAAAGGCCCTTCTAGCTCAAAACCATGCTATCCTACCATCTTCTTAGAGCCATAGACTAGGAGTCAAAAAGCCTGTGTTCTAGCCCCTACTCTGCCACTGACAAGTTGTGTGATCTTGGGGAGTAATTTTCCTTCTCTTGGCCTCAGTTTCCTCCCCTGTAAAATGAGAGTGTTGGCCTAGCTGATCTTGGCACTCTCCTCTGTTTTTATGACCCCTCTGCCTCCCTGACTGCTACCTCGAGGCAGCAGTTTCACCTTCCCCAGGTCGGTAATCAGTCCCTCCTAGGTCTCTTCTTTAGTTCCAAATTGGGATGGGGAGTATGGCTGGGGCTGGGCTGGAGCTGTCCAGGGATAGGGAGGGAGGGGCCAGGGTTCATCCTCAGTCATCCTTGGTGTCACCCCTTCCTGTTCCCTCCAGTAAACAATGCAGGTTTAGGAATTGTAGGGCCCCTGGAGAGCCTCAATATGGCAGACATCAGGAAGGTCTTTGAAACCAACTTCTTTGGAGCAGTCCAGCTGATCAAGGCTGTGCTGCCCAGCATGAAGCAGAGACGTAGAGGCCACATCGTGGTGGTCAGCAGTGTCATGGGATTGCAGGGTAAGACTCCCTTTCCCACCTCGGGGATCCTCTACATTGGGTCCTGCTCCTAAGTAGGAAGATAGCCCCACTCAGATCCATCCACTTGATATCTCCCTCTACCCCAATTCCACCCAGGAACCTTGTCTACCTAAAAGTCCTCAAATCTGAGGGAAGAAATTGGGGTCCACTTAGATACTCCCAGGGCAGGGGCAGGATCGGGGTGTGGGCTCCCCTAGACACGCATGGAACCTGAATATACTCCTGTCCTGCCATTCCTGCCTTTCCAGGTGTCGTATTCAATGATATCTATTCAGCCTCCAAGTTTGCATTGGAGGGGTTCTGTGAGAGTCTGGCTGTGCAGCTTCTGCGGTTCAATATCTTGTGAGATGGGGATGACACTCAGAGTGGAACATTCTGGGGATCTGAACTCTGAGTGGGAGACCTGAGGGGAGAGAGGAATTGAGGAGGGGAGGAGCTGGGCCCTGAAGAGGACCAGTGGGGGAAGGAGTCCTGAGGGGACTGTGGGGGATGGGCTATGAGGGGATAGGAAGGGCTGGGCTCTGGGGACAAGGGATTGCGGGAGAGAGAGGCCTACACTCTGAGAGGATGTCCTGAAGAAGAAGTGGGTGTTGGGCTCTGAGTGGGGAGAGGGCCTAGACTGTAAGGGAAGGGGTCTAGAGTGAGTCCCTGAAAGGTTTTTGTGGGTAGAGGGTGTCCTTGGCTAAAATGTCCTCCTGGGCCCTCTAATTCATTGAGTTGATAACCACAATGAGACTTTCCAAGATGAGTCTTGGGGGCAGGCAATCATTGGAGAAAGGCTTTAGGGGAGTCCGAAGAAGTCTTAGGCCTTCATTCCTCCCCAGTGTGTCCTTAGTGGAACCAGGGCCGGTGAACACAGATTTTGAGGCCAAGTTAGTGGCCCAGGTCTCCAAGGCTGATTTTCCTGGCACTGACCCTGACACCTTGAGCTACTTCCTCGATGTTTATCTCCCAGCATCAAAAGATATCTTCCAGACCCTGGGCCAGAGCCCTGAGGATATTGCCCAGGTAAGGCGATGGAAATGTTCATCCCTCCCAATACTCTCTTCCTCCCACGAGCCAGGCATCCCTTGGGATGGGGCTGGCCATACCTTCCACAACAACCTCTGACCCTAACAAGACCCCTGACCTCCAGTCCCCTCCTTTCCTGTTCCTCCTTGGGCTTCTGTTTCCACGGCTCAGGAAGTTTGAGCCTAAGAGTCAGAAACCTACTCTTTCCAGGCCATTGCCCAAGTGATTGGCTCAGCACAGCCATCCCTTCGCTATCAGACCAATGCCCTTTATACGCCCCTGACTGCCCTGAAGTATGCTGACCCTTCTGGAGACCTCTCCGTCCACACCTTCTACCGTCTACTCTTCCGCTGCCAACCCCTTTTCCGGTTCAGCCTCTGTTGTCTCCGCTGCCTCTCTGGGAACTGCCTCCGGCCCAGGGTCACACCCATGTGAAGGGGGCCTCACACACGTTGCGGGTTTGGAGCCATGTGAAGATGACAATTTGTATGAAGAAGGTCATATACATGTGAAGAAGTCACATGTATTCAGGGATATGAGTGACCTACAGCCAGACCTGCTCTTCTCAGTCTTTTCAAGATATGAACCTTGACATCTGAATTTATAATCCCCTCCCTTGGTGGGGGCTTATTCCTGGGCTCTAGCCTTGGTAGTAGCCAGTCCTTTACTCTAGCCTTCCCCCCACCTACACACTTTACTATGAACTTAGTAACATTTTGCAAGTGAATTTAGATTTTATTTTATTGGTATTTTTAATTTAATATTTTATTTTTCCTTAATTACGTGTAAGAATAATTTTTAACGTTTGTTTTTTTTTTTAATTTTTGAGTTCCAAGTTTCCTCCGCCTTTCTCTTTCTCCCTCATTTAGAAGGCAAGCAATTTGTTATAGGTTATACATGTGCAGTCATGCAAAACACATTTCCATTTTAATCATGTTGTAAAAGAAGACAAAAAAAAAAGAAAAATAAAGTTTAAAAAAGATATCCTTTGATCTGCATTCAGACTCCATCAGTTCTTTCTCTGAAGGTAGATGGCATTTTTCATCACGAGTCCTTCAAAATTGTCTTGGATCCCTGTATTGCAGAGAATCATTCACAGCTGATCATCACATAATATTACCATTGCTATGTACAATGTTATCCTGGTTCTGCTCATTTCACTTTGTATCAGTTCATGTAAGTCCAGTTATTTTTGAGAGTATTCTGCTTGTCATTTATATCATAATCCTATACCACAACTTGTTCAGCCATTCCCCAAATCAATGGGCATCCCCTCAATTTCCAATTCTTTGTGACAAATACTTGTGTACATATAGATCCTTTTCCTTTTTGTTTTTCATCTCTCTGGGATACAGACCTAGTAGTGATATTTCTGGGTTGAAGGGGATGAATGGTTTTATAGCCTGAATTTGTATTTTATTGATTACACCAGCATCTACACACAATTAAGCACATGGTAATCCATATATGTGGGAGACAAAGTATTTATTGGGTTTATAGAATGTGTCTGCTTTTCTGTCACACTGAGTTATTCAATGAGAGGAATGAGTTTTTGACAGCTTTCAAAAATTGGAAATCTAGCAGAAGACTGGAGTGAAGATTTCAACCTTAGAATATTGTACATCCAAGCTTATTTCTGTGTTTAGATTTCAATACAGCAGGTGGAGAAAATCCTCAGGTATGTAGTGGGAAGAGGCTTCAGGCACTTTACAACTTACCCAAACAGTTGTGCTTTTGCAGAATAAATGATGCAGGTGTTTTTGTGGGAAGATTTCTTTTGAAGAACTTGTTGAAAGGTCTAGCTCTTTTGAGGTCTTGTTCTTTTGATGCCACTGGAAGTCTAACATAATCAGCTCTAAGGTAGAGGATGTCTCCTCTCCACAGGAAGAGCTGTCCTATGTAGACATAAGAATAGAGAGATAGACAGAGGGGCAGGAGTCCTCTTCTGAGTGTATTTGATCTATGCATATGCCACCAGAGTTGAGCTTGAGCTTCCTGGCCCCTGTCAGACCTGCAAGCACATCACTGAATAGAGATTGCCTGCCTGCCTGGTTCTCTGCACAAGCAGTATCAGTGACCTGGTTTCTCCTTGGCTCTCAGCTTCTGAGTGCCATAGGAACAGCCCAGATGTCATATCAGCTAGACCAGAAAGTTTGAAGATTATCAGAGACAGTTCAAAAGTTTATCAAAATGTCTCAGCCCCCATCCCCTCAGGATCCTTGTCTCCTTTCCAATTCAAGTGACCTGAAAAGGACTGTACCTCCCATCATAAAGTAAAACTCAATAAAAAATATTTATTGAGTAGAATTAATTTAAAAAATGCAACTCTTGAATGACTGGCAACCCTTTGCTTCTACATAGGTCTGTCACCTCAATTTTGTGAGCAGGATTACTTCTATTAAGATCTAAGCTTTTAGCTTTGCCTTTCCCGGGAAACATATGGCCTAGAGGCTCCACGTGGAAGAAGGCTGTCAAGCAACCTTCCTGTGTAAGAGATAAAGAAAGGAAAACAGAGCAGTTTTGTCATGTGCTGGATGGTGAGTCCCACCCTGATGCCTACAAGGACAGTGCTTATTTCTCAGCCGATCATCAGGTGAAACCTGAGGTCTGATGGTCACCATGAGGTCTCTCTCAAGTCTTCAACATGTTCCTTTGTTGCTCAGGAACACAGAAATTCACCATGCAATCTCAATGCCCACTCATTCTGCATTTTCTGACACATTTTCCCAGAAATTTTGCCAGTAAATTCTCTTACACACACACTCCTGTAGTGACTTCCCATGCATCAGCCTCCACCTGGCACCCAGCATCTCTAGCACCCCACTGTGGGTCTTGGAGCTGCACTGCCCAGCTCACCCGAAAGATTGCTTCACTCCACTGATCTCAGGTACAGTTTATGGTATTTGTTGCAAAAATTCCTAGGGGTGGCTCTGTCTAGGAGTGCAGGAGGACACAGCAGAATCACAGAGCCCAGTCTGTTTTGGTTCAGTATGCAACTAGGGGCTATAGTGGCTAGAGCTCTGGGCTTGGAGTCACAAAAGACCTGAGTTTGAATCCTGCCTCACTAGCCATTTGATGCTGAGAAAGTCACTTCATTTCTCTTGGCCTCAGTTTACTCATCTATAAAATGGGGATAATTAATAGCCCCTACCTCTCTGGGTTTTTGTGAGAATTAAATGAAATTACATGGGAAATATTTTTCAAACATTACAGCACTATATAAATGCAAGCTATTATTGTTATTATTATTACACATCTTCAGCAACCCCTGGGCCATGAGTCTCCCTGTCTAGCCCTTTCCCGGCCCTGGAAGAATCTTTCTCTGTTTCTTGGTCTCCCAAATACATACCCTAACTGAGCTTTCTCTGTTCCTAACCACTCTTCCTCAATTAAGATTCAGCCTAATGTCCTCTTTTCTGATCCAAGTACAACTTCCTTCTCCTCCCCTCTTCCCAGATGTTGTCTGCCTAGTGCCACCCCACCCTACCCCCAACCCTAGCCAAGGCAGATTCCATTCCCCCATGCTTTAATCCCTGGATGGTAGAAGTAAGCAAAGGCTCCCAACTTCTTTCCAAAAGCACATAAATCAGGGCACCTCACCCTCATGGGTCCTTGACTGGGACTTCTCATAGGTGTGGGCTCAGGGTCAGGGCTGTTCTCTCCCTGAAAAAGCCTGAATTCCTGGGGTGAGGGAGCATCTCCAGGGGACAGAGTCAGAGATGGGCATATTGACTGCACAACCATCAGGCAGAGCCACAGCCAGGACCACTGCTGAAGTGTCTACTGAAGCTGAAATCCGCTTTCCATGCCTGTGAGACTGACCGGATTCACTCTTACTGAATGCTGCAGGAATAAAGGAGTAACGTATGAGTCCTTTGGGTAGTTAGTCAACAATAGTGATAGCTAATAACTAGCATTTACCGTATTTCACAGCGTAGTTGTTGCCACCGCATAATCATTGTACCCTGTTTTTTCCCAGTCCAAAAACTGGTATCACATAATTGTCACATGGCATAATTCTGTTCATCATGCTACTTAAAAGGTAAACAGAGCAACAGTGTATTCACCAGTGGCATTTGGGTACACATTTATCTCTCATGCATAGGGAGCCACAAGCCGAGAATTCTCAGCGCAGGTGAGTTGTTAGTATATTTCCCAAAGTCAACTCGCATAGTTTGTTTAGAGGGCTGCAGTACTAATGATATTGTCACTCAACGAAACAAAGAGCTCCATAGGCGCAAGGGGAGCGGGTGGACAGACGAAGCTGCCACGAGTAAGTGACATGATACGGTAAGACTTGCATCTTCCTCTGCTAGCTAAACTGTACAATTTATCTGCCAGTGATACAATTTAATAATCAATAATTTTTAAGTAATACCGGCACAGTTTTTAATGTTTCACATAACAGTCACACTCCACTTTTTTGCAAAAAATTTTGGCATAAAATCTGCAATGATTTGTGTGGTGAAATATGACATATAGCACTTACTATGTGCCAGGCCCTGGGCTAAGCCTTTTACAATTATTATCTCATTTGATCCTCAAAACAATCCTGGGAGGTAAGTGCTGTTATTATCCCCATTTTATAGATGAGCAAACTGGGACAAACAAGGTTTAAGCAAATTACCCAGGGTCCCACAGCTAGTAAGTATCTGAGTCTAGATTTGAACTTAGGTCCTTCTGACTCCAGGCCCAGTGATCTATCCATCACACCAGAAGCCTATTGCAATAGTCCAGATGACGAATCATAATAGCCTGCCTATAAAAGGGTGGTATCTTTGTAAGTGTAGATAAAGTAATATACAAGAGATGTGAAGGTATAAAATGGCAGATGGTAAATGCCAAAGGTTTAGCACTAGACTGGATATGTAGGGTGAGTAAGGAAGGATGAACTGAGGTTGGGAGCCTCATGCCTGAGAGGATGGCAGTGCCCTCAACAGCAGTAGGGACACTGGGAAGAGAGGAGGGTTTGGGAGGAAAGCTAATGAGTTCTGTTTTAGACATGTTGAGTTTGAGATGCCTATGGCACATCCAACTTGATATGTTGTCAAAAAAGCAATTGGTGATGTGGTTCTGGAACTCAGGAAGGCCATATTTGATAATTGTCTGCATAGAGAGGAGAGTTGAACCTATGGGAGCTGTTAAGATCACCAAGTGAGATGGTATATGCAGAGAAAAGAAGAGGGTCTGGGAGAGACCCTTGGGGAGCACCCATGATAGGCATTACAGTGCATGTACACCCGGGAGGTATCCCGAGTGTGACAATTAGGGGCAGCGAAGAATTGCAGCTCAAATTCCCATTCACATCGCCTTCCTCAAGCCTACAGTAACTGTCCCATGAGAGAATTTTACATCTGAATTGGTTACCACATGCCACTAGACTCAAGGCACCAGCCAAGTGGTCCAATCAGAGGATCTGGGGACTGTACATGCTCTAAAGATCCTCCTCTGCTGCTCTACTGTGTGGCTTTGTGTGGAGTGCCACTCTGTATGTGGTTCGGTTCAGATAGGAACAAATCTTAGCTGAAGAATTTGGACCGGACTTCACCTAGGAATTGGAACTTCTCAATATCAGGCCCAGCTAGGCCTGAGAGCACTAAGAGAGTCTCAGGGGTAGGAAGGGTGAGCACAAGTAACCAGCAGACAGACACACTTTCATAGGGACTTTGTGATCTGTAGGACTTCCTCATCCCTGTGTCTGAACCCTGGCTCTGCTATTTAGAACTTGTGCAAAAGTTCCTTCCCCCTCTCAAGGCCTCAGTTTCCCCAAATGAAAAATGAGGGGCTTGAGTATCCAAGACCCGTTATAGATTTAAATCCTCTGATCCTAAAATCTCTTGAATTTATACTAAATAATTTAGGAATGAAACAGAAAGGCATTTGGGAAAAGAAAGTAAGGGACAGAGCGAGGGTCCGGCAGAGAGCCTTGAACATCTTAGATGGTTCATCTATGTTTGTTGAATTGTGTTGACACATGTGGCCTTCTAGGTCCTTGGGTGTGGCCTTTTGACTGAGTCCAAGTTTTACAGAACAAATTCTTTCATTCAGGATATTTGCTCTGCGAAGTTTGGACTTAGTCAAAGGGCCACACTTGGGGACCTAGAGGGCCACATGTGGCCTTGAAGCCGCAGCTTCCCCAACCCTGGCCCAGCTCATGTTATTGTTGTTGTCATCCAGTTGTGTCCAACTCTGTGTGACCCCCTTTTTGGGTTTTCTTGGCAGAGACAGTGGAGTAGTTATCTATTTCCTTCTCATTTTACAGATGAGGAACAGAGACAAACAGAGTGAAGTGACTTGCCCAGGGTCACACAGCCAGTAAGCATCTGAGGCCAGATCTGAACTCATGAAGAGTCCTCCTGCTTCCAAGCTGAGTGCTCCATCCACATAGCCACCTAGAAATCACGCAATAAATTAGTTGAATTAGCCTATCTTTCAAGACCTTTCTGGTTCTAAATCCTGATTTCCTCAGATGAAGTGTAGCATGCCCCCTGCTGGAGAGCCCCAATCCTATCTGGGTCTCCCTAAGAATTGAGAAGTAACAGGATTGGAAGAAACAGAAGTACCATCCACATTCCATCACAGCCTATACTTACCCTTCCACAAATACCTCTTATATAGTTCCCCCGTATGTAGGCTCTTGGAGTGAGACGATGAGGAAAGGGATTTGACTGACACCGGTGAGATGTGTGCACTGTGCATCTGGCTGGTGAACGAGAAGTGTGGCTAAACTATAGCTCAAAAAGGAAAAAAGGCCTTGAGAATGAGGGCATCCTCCTCCCAGGTTCTCCCATGAGAGGGGCGCGGAGGTGTGCAGACAGATGTTGCTGCTAGGGGAGGGTATTAGAAATTATCCATTTCTCAAGCCAGAGAGGTGATGGACTCAGGGTGCAGCAGAATGGGACGTATGTTTTCAGACATTTGTTTTCATATGTTTTTCAGAGACATATGTTTTTAGACATGGCCAATGTGGCAATTTGTTTAGCTTGACTACTCATTCTTTTTTTTTTTTTAGCTTTTTGGTGAGGTAATCAGGGTTAAGCAACTTGCCCAGGGTCACACAGCTAGTAAGTGTCCGAGGCCAGATTTGAACTTAGGAAGATGAGTCTTCCTAACTCCAAACCTGGCACTTTATCCGCTGTGCCACCTAGCTGCCCCTTGACTACTCACTCTTATTGCATGGGGTTTTTTTCTTTTTTTTTAAAATTCCAGTTGTCAGCTATGGGGCAGCTTCCCCATAGACACTATGGGGGACTACAGAGACACTCCCATAAGGCTATAAGAAAGGTCCTTCTGATAGGTCTGAGAGGTGGGACTGAATGGGCTGTAGTCTATACCCTCTACAGGCTTCTGCACCCCTAGAAAATCTGTATAGTTTGGGACAGCTAGGTGGCACAGTGGATAGAGCACCGGCCCTGGATTCAGGAGGACCTGAGTTCAAATCCGGCCTCAGACACATAACACTTACTAGCTGTGTGACCCTGGGCAAGTCACCTAACCCCATTGCCTAGCCCCCCCCCAAAAAAAAACCTGTACAGTTTGTTTGCAAGTAGGTGGCAGGGTTGGGGAACCTTCAGCCTTGAGGCCATACGTGGCCTTCTAGGTCCTCAGGTATGGCCTTTTGACTGAGTCTAAGTTTTACAGAACAAATCTTGTTATTAACGGGATTTGTTCTGTGAAGTTTTGATTCAGTCAAAGGGCCACATTTGAGGACCTAGAGGGCCACATGTGCCCTTGAGGATGAAGGTTCCCCACCTCTGGTAGGGCAACCATGACTGAACTGGTAGCCAGGAGGTACTTGGTTTTAATTCCCACCTCTTCCCCTTTCTACCTGTGAGACCAGAGGCAAGTCAATTTCATCTTTCTCAGGGGCTTCAGGGGGTGGATCATATGTTCTGCGAGGTCCCTTATATAACTCTAATTCCTACAATCCTCTGTATCCTAGTGGGAGAGACCTTCCCTCTGAGCCTCAGTTTTCCTACCTATAAAATGAGGCAGTTCACTAAATGATGTCTGAAGTCAATTCCAGCTCTTCATCCCATGGTTCCCGGAAACTCCTTATACTTTACACAGGACAGAGAAGGGACAGTAGGCAGCTAACAGTCAGAGTTGCCTGTGTTGGACATTGTACGTTGGCCTCTGAGGTCTTGGCCACTAGAAAGGCCTTTCCCCTTGGGTGGGATGGGGGAAGGGAATCACAGTCTGGACTTTTCCAGACCCAAGAAAATCATTTCAGGAGCAAGAATCAGCTGACAGGGGAGGAGCTGGGAACAGGGCTGCTACTGGGCTGGAACTGGAGGAAGCAGCTCACTATCCCATGGGGTTTATGGGAAGCCTTCTCAGTTCAGTTGGTAATTAACTTGGTTTTCAGTTAGGGCCAAAACAAATAACCAGAGAGCAGTGACCCCAGCTCTACCGCCCTACTTCTTCCATCCTCACCTTGCCAGCCTCTGCCATGGAGGCCCCCAGGATCCTGGGCTTGTCACAACTGCTTCTCCTTCTAGGTCTCCCTCTCGCCCATTGTGGCCCTCTGTGAGTAAGGGAGGGGATGAGATGTGTCTCCTCATGTTCATTTCAGCGTGTGTCCCACATCTGTCTCTTTTTCTGTCAATGTGTTTCCAGGTGTCTTTGGAGGATTTCCCTTCTTGTGATGGGTTCCCTGTACATGTCGGCGTGTTCTCACCATTGTATTTCTTTCCCTCTGCATACCTCTCAGTATTTCTTGTTCAGGTGTGGGTGGGATCCCACGCCCTCTGAGGGCTTTTCCAGCTCCGAGGTTTTTTGACTTCTATTTGGGTTTTGTTGGAGGGCTTTCTTTTGTAGGTCTAGCTGTGGGGGCTCCTTAGCTTCTTTGAGTATAATCCCTTGTGTTTTTCCTCTGCACAACTCCATGTGATTCTCTTGGCCTTTTCTGCTCTGTGTCCCTGGACATCCCTTTGGTATTCTCCTTTCAGCTTGCTGCCCTCTGTATATCTCCTGGTACAGGTACTTCCTGGTGGCCCCTCGAGTTCTATGGGTGGGGGACCCAGAGAACATCTTGCTCCAGGTGCATCAGGACCCTGAGCAGCCCCTGGTCGAGCCCCTTAAAGTGTTTCTCAACATTTGGGACTTTCCCCTAGAGAGGAAGATATTGTATGACACATCGCTCACCCTCTCCCAAGACAACAACTATATGGCCTTGGTTCCCGTGACGGTACGTGTGTGTTGTGGTATGGTATAGCTTGGCATGCCGTGTGTGGGGTTGGGTTTGGTAGAGACCCCAAGACAGCTCCTCCATTGCTCCAGTCAGCCCTGGAACATCAGGTCTCAGGATTAAAGGTGGTTTGGGTCAGACCCTGAGAGAAACTTTCTAAGCATGAGGTTTGAACTTAGAGCCCATGATTCTAGGAAGTCATGGAGTTCAGAGGCAAGGTACTGGAACTATATGACCTCTGACTTTCCAGGGTCTAAAGACTCTGTCTCTCTCCTCTCACCAGAGAGAGGATCCTTAAAGCAAGTTCTCAGTCTCCTCCATCAGAGGCCCTTTTCAGGGTCCATCCTTGGCTTCCACTCCTCTGAGGGCTCAGTAGAGGTGGGGACCAGGTGCAGGAGGTTCTCTCCTCCAGTCATTTAAACATCTTCCCCCTGTGTGCAGAGTGCACAAGAAGCCACCAAGCTTAAGACGCAGTCCCTGTCCTCATGAAACTTACAGTGCCACAGGAGGATAAGGCACAGAAATGAACAACTATTGACAGTTTTTACATGGTTGGTACATTGGAAAGGAGCACACGAAAGTATCTGGAAGTCCCTGATGGGGAAGTCACTACTAACCAGGGAGGGGAGCAGAGAATCAGGAATCCTTAGAGTTATTATGTAGGGTAGGAATGCAAGGTGAAATAATAATAGTAGCGAAAATTTAGGTAGAGTTTATCATGTGCCAGGTACTGTGCTAAGTATTCGACAAATATTATCTCATTCGATCCTCACAACTCTGAGAGGTAGGTGCTATTATCCCCACTTTACAGGTGAGGAAACTGAGGCAAACAGTGGTTAAATGACTTGCCAAGGGTCCCACAACTAGTAAGTATCTAAGGCTGGATTTGAACTTAGGTCTTTCTGACTCTGGGCCTGGTGCTCTGTCCAATGTGCTGCCTTGGAGAGGGAGGGCACTCCGGGCATAGGAAAAAGCCTGAGCAAAAGTGCAGAAGGGGGAAAGCCCAAAGCATACGAGGTGGGGGTAGAAAGAAGGCTTTTTGGGCTGGAATGTGCTTGGAATGCTTGGAGAAGAGTAATATGAGCCATGGTTGGAAAAATAGTCACAGTGGCTAGGACTGAGATGCCAGGCAGAAGAGCTGGAACTTTATTTGAGAGACAATAGGTAGATTTTAAAATAAGGGAATGTCATGATTACCTTCATGCGTAAGAATCATGGATATCATTTATAAAAAAATATAAAATATTCAAATTAACAAAACAAGGAATATATACCCTAAAAAGATTGAAATCTGAAAGAGAAATTAGAAACACCCCCATAGAGTTGTCCTCTGCAAGATATGGACCAAATCACAGCATCACAGATTTAGAATCAGAAGGGACCACAAAGGAACCTTAAAGAAAGGTCACTGTTCAATCTCTTCATTTAAAAAAATCCAATAAACATTTGTTTCTCTATCACTTACATTTCCTAATGTGCTGGGCTGACAAACTGGGAAAAGCAGAAGCATTTGTAAGTGATGTTAACAGAAGTGAGCTGGGCAGGACTTGATAACACTGATTGGATCTTAAGAGTTTAGAAGAAGGAAGGGAAGAAGCCAAAGATAAGGCTAAAGTTAAGAACACGGGATGTTGGGCAAATGGTGGTGCCCCAGACAGAACCAGGGAAGTCAGCGAAAGGAGCAGGTTTGAAGGAAAGGTACTGAGTTTGAGATGTGCTCTTCCCAGATCCCTGAAAGCGTAGTCTTCCCTCCACGTCCAGGGAAGCAGTACGTGGTCCTCAAAGCCTCCTCAGACACCTTCTCTCTGATGAAAACAATCCTGGTTGCTCCACATGCTGGCTATATCTTCATCCAGACCGATAAGACCATCTATACCCCTAAGCAGTCAGGTGGGTCCCAATGATGGGGAGGGACAGATGAAGGAAGGCTTATTTCTAGCTTCTGGCATTGCCCATAAGACTCCCCTTTCTCTCTCCATCACACAGAATCTCTGGGCTCCAGCTCCCTCTAACTGCTTAAGGTCTCTGGACTCTGGCTCTCAATCGATACCCAAGGTCTTTGAGCTCTGGCTTTCCTCACTGCCTAGGGTCTCTGGGCTCTGACTTCTTCTACTGCCAAGATACCTAGGCTCTGGCCAACAACATATCTTTGTTTCTCTCTCAGTTCAATACAGGGTGTTCACAGTGAACCATGGATTAGACCCAGTGATGAGGCCATTCACCATTGACATTAAGGTTGTTTCTTTTGGGTCATGAGAACTGGGTCCTGGGCATCCCAGCAGAGCTAGGGAGACTCTGGGAAGTGTGTTCTAGGAATGGGGTGGGGCTTGAGTATCCCCTGACTCTTCTCTTTCCCCCCTAGGACCCCCAAGGCATCTCTGTCATCAGCCAGAACTTAGGGGATGACAGTGGTTTCTTTGTGGGTTCCTTCCATCTCCCTGAATTGGTCAGGTATCCCCTTCTCTGCTTCCTGCCCCAAAGGCTCCTCCCTCTGATACCATCCCAACCTCCCCTTCCTTCTGCTTCTCTTCACACACCCCCTCCTCTTCCTTCTCCCATCTGCACCAGGCCTTCCCCAAATGGGATAAGGGTGGGGAAAGGAGGGAAGTCTGGAGGAGGGGTTGACTAGCCACTGGGTCTAGACTGTGACATTACTGCTTCAGCTTTGGAACTTGGACCATTGAGGCCTGATACCAGAGTAGGCCCTGGAAGCCATACAGTGTGTCCTTTGATGTGAAGGAATATGGTAAGCAACCTTGGGCCATGCTACCAATATTGGACATTTGGTCTTCCTGGACTCAGGGAACTTGGGTTCTGGCTTTTGGGGCCGGGGCTCTGGACTCCAGGCTCCATGTTCTGTTCTCCTCTGAAGCTCACCTGTTCATCAACTCCAAACTTTCTCCCTGCTTAGTGCTCCCATCCTTCGAGGTCCAGTTGGTCCCCAATAAGACCTTCTTCTACCTTAATGACACAGCCTTGGGTATTGATATCAAGGCCAGGTGAGCATTGTTACCCCTCATTCAGACAGAGACAGAGAGATGCTTTATGTGTGTAAGGGAAGTATAAAAGGTCAGAAAGGTGGATAGAGAGGCACTTTGGGGCTGGAACCAGGTATTCCCCAGCTTCTTCTGCAAAGAAAACTGGGAGAAATCTCAAGCATTTGGCTTCTGAGCCATTTGGGAAAAGTGAGGAGCAGAATATCCTCTCCCCACACACTTCCTATAGCTGACCCAGCAGAACCATTGGACTAGAAAAGTGAGAACTGGGGTCTTGACAGCTCTGTGAGCTTATGTGGGGGTACTTCAAACAGTGAGAACCTTCTCTGGGCCTCTAGGTATATGTTCAAGAAGCCTGTCGATGGACATGCTCTGGCCATTTTTGGGATGAAGCTGGACTCTGGCTGGATCACCATCCAGGACTCATTGCAGAGAGTGAAGGTTGGCATTGACCCCCCCTCTAATCCCCACCCTCTTCTGAGGCTCCCCTTTCCCTCTTCAGCTTTTCTTCTCCTCTTCTCCCTGAGCCAGATCTCTGAAGGTGAAGGACATGCTTCCCTCAGCAATGCCACCCTGACTTCCCAGTTCCAGGACCTCAGCAATCTCCTAGGGGTTTCAATTTTTGTCAGTGTCACTGTATTCTCCTCTGGTGGGTGAGCCTCTTACCTTTCTCCTCTAGTATACCCCTTCTGATTCTCCTAAACTGGGTCAGAAGAAGGAGGGGGAAGGGGAGGAAGAGGGAACTGGGTTGGGCATAACAAATAATTCAGTCTTCTAGGACCTCAGTTTCCTTATCTGTAAAATGGGTCAAAAGGCTGAATGTTCTCTCCACAAGTAAGGAGGGAGGGCAGAACAGAACTTCCCTAGTCCCCTGGGGCCTGCTTTCCTCAAAGGCTTCTTTATTTGCACAGCGGGTGAAATGGTCCAGGCTGAGACCTCAGGGGTGAAGATAGTCCAGAGTCCCTATAACATCAGATTCACCAGAACACCCCATTA